CTATAAGTTATAAAACATGTATTATCTTTAGATTTTGGATTCGTACAGACACTAATAAAAGTCACTTATTACATTAATTATACATTAAAACACAACTCCCTATCTTGTTACGAAGAACAACTCGTACGGTTGATTAAGTTATCTAAAACAGCTTAGCAGGACTAAGTTGTTTTATTAATTAATCCACCGGTAACGTTCAAATCCAATGTCAGAAATGCCGGCGAACCCAGGTCAAAATTTCTGTATTTGGTCAGCGAACGTTGTTCGGAGCCCTGTCTAAACTTTACAACTTTTCCAGTAATAGTTTTCGCGTTTAGTTCGAATTTCAGAGATGCCGGCGAACCCAGGTCAAAATCTCAGTATTTCACTACTAAACGGAAAACTAACTACTTTAATATTAATTATTTCTGCATTTAATTTAGTATCAGAAATGCCGGCGAACCCAGGTCAAAATTTCTGTATCTTTTAATTAAATGCGTTAAAATCAAAACTAAAACACTGACTCACTTTTTAACAGGAATGCTGTGCCTTTTATACAAAAATGTCCACCCTGATTTTCGGTGGGGGATTGAATCAAATTTGTTCGTCACAGCATTTCTGTTACTTTTTTTCTCTTTCCCGTAGGCAAAAATTATTCAATCTCCCTCGCACTAATGGGAATCTTTAAAATAATTTTTGCCTCTAAGATTCCTACAACTAGGCTATGCGCTAGAGACTCGAGCGTGTTTGTGTTTAATTTCTGTCAACAGATACACTCAGCGCTGCAAGCCTCAGCATAGCTGCAATACATTTAACTAAACTAAACTAAATCATATAATATTATTTAAATAATATGCACGCTACATCCTCCCCCTCTGGATCGTTTAAGTGCCAGCTAACGGTCCAGAATCAACAGCGGGCATCTCCTGCATGCTAGCGTTTCCTTGGACGACCTCTACGCCGTAGCGGATTGACTCGTAGTCGGCTAGCATATTCCACGGGCCGCTCGTTCTCTTCCTCCCCCTGGAGTAATGCTCCCCCTAGAGCATAAGAGCTTGCGTCGGTCCGCAGATTGTGTGCCAAAGTTTCATCAGCTTGTCTATGCCTGTCTTCAGCTCCTCCTTTTCGCCTTGGAGTCATCCTATACGGTGGTAACGCAATGGGCGTGTCCTCCGTCGCAGTTATGCGATGCTGTACGTACGCACAAGCCGTTCCATTTTCGGCAAAGAGGTCATCGAACTCGTCAAGCAGCTGATTCCAGGCACCCCGTTGTGTTTCGGTCAGCGCGGTCGCTTCGTCCTCTCGCAAATCTATAGTCATGTCGATCGCTGCTAGGTGAGCATACATGGGGTATTCCAATTCACAGTTTAACGGCAGCGAATCTCTAAAGAGCTCTTCTATAAACGTCGGATCATATTATTCCGATCGTCTATTTCTTCCGGCGTTGGTTCGACCGAAACCATATTCATTTGTGCGGTTACCTGGTCTTCCTTTAAAAACTTAAAACTTCTGCTCGTGTCATTATTAAAATACCATTGACCGTTTGCCATATCAAGTATTATTCCAGCCTTCGTAAGAAAATCGACCCCCAGCAGCGTGCGACTATTTTTTGCTTTTGGTAATATTACGAATTCTACCGGCACGGCGCGACCTTCCACACGTACAATCGTGCATGTCATTAACACTTGTTCGCGTTTTGCAACGCCGTCTGCAAGCGTTACCTGCATAATTTCAGGTTCGAAGCGATGACCAGTCTCCTTCAAAACCGCGTACAGGCTCGCGCCTGCCAAACTTCTGCGTGCTCCGGTGTCTATATAGCCTGCTCCAGTAGATCCCTGTATAGACATTCGGATTACGGGCCGTGAACAGATACCTGCGTTAGGTAATCCTATGTCTGCGTGATGATGCATCCACAAAATGTCGGTTTCATCGCTTTCCGGCCGTTTTCTTTTGTGGTTCCTACAGATTGTGCATCTTGATTTGTTTATTGCAACATCTGTTTTTGCACCCAGCGCGAAAAAAGCTAACGGTGAATCCTCAATTTTTGGTTTCGAGTTGCATCTTGGACACTTACTTCGCACAAAACCCTTCTCTCCGCAGCCATAGCAAATTAGCTGATTTTCAATTAGCGGTTTTCTCTGAGGCAGGGTTTGTTGCACAAATTTTCTGCAGTCTTCTTTTTCGTGTCCGAATTTTCTGCAGTGCGAACACTTTATAGTTTCTTGCAACGATGTGGCTTCCTGTATGTTCTGCTGCACCGTTCGACACCTTGTCAGTAGTTCGTTAAATGTGTTGACGCTACTTCGATCAACGCACTTTCTTAATTTTAAGGTTAAGAGACCGTATATCATGTCAATTTGCGTCCTTTCTACTGTCTTCGTTGACAATTCCGCAAACAAAGCTCGCTTATGCGCTATGAATTTGTCTACGTTCTCTTTCTCCTTCTGACGCTCGAATAATTCCGAAAAAATTAAGTAGTCCGGGCGTGTGGGTGCGAATGATTCCTGCAGGTTGGTGATAACGTCTGTCCAGGTGTGGATTTCCGATTCCACACCCTTCCACCATACTGTTGCCTCACCTGTCAATAGTAAAGGCATCTCGCGGATGGCTCTTTCATCAGGGATTTGTTCATATTTCTTGTAGATAACAATTTTTTCTACGAATTCCTGAGCCTTATGCGCATCGCGAGATCCGTCGAATTTGTAATCGCACTTTGAAAAACTACCTGGCGGAACGTTTCTAGCCGTCGCACAATTTAAAAACGCGTGATAGCATTTCTTCAGTAACTGAGAATTCCATTGTGTTCGGATTAATGTCTTTTTCAATAACAGTGTCTTTTTTAGCTCTGCCCCACGTTTGGGCGCCAGTTTATAACACTAGATTTTATAAACTTATTAAATTCTCACTTTCGCACCAGTTATGCAATAAAGAAAACCACTATAAGTTATAAAACATGTATTATCTTTAGATTTTGGATTCGTACAGACACTAATAAAAGTCACTTATTACATTAATTAACATTAAAACACAACTCCCTATCTTGTTACGAAGAACACTCGTACGGTTGATTAAGTTATCTAAAACAGCTTAGCAGGACTAAGTTGTTTTATTAATTAATCCCCCGTAACGGTAACAATGTCAGAATGCCGGCGAACCCAGGTCAAAATTTCTGTATTTGGTCAGCGAACGTTGTTCGGAGCCCTGTCTAAACTTTACAAACTTTTCCAGTAATAGTTTTCGCGTTTAGTTCGAATTTCAGAGATGCCGGCGAACCCAGGTCAAAATCTCAGTATTTCACTACTAAACGGAAAACTAACTACTTTAATATTAATTATTTCTGCATTTAATTTAGTATCAGAAATGCCGGCGAACCCAGGTCAAAATTTCTGTATCTTTTAATTAAATGCGTTAAAATCAAAACTAAAACACTGACTCACTTTTTAACAGGAATGCTGTGCCTTTTATACAAAAATGTCCACCCTGATTTTCGGTGGGGGATTGAATCAAATTTGTTCGTCACAGCATTTCTGTTACTTTTTTTCTCTTTCCCCGTAGGCAAAAATTATTCAATCTCCCTCGCACTAATGGGAATCTTTAAAATAATTTTTGCCTCTAAGATTCCTACAACTAGGCTATGCGCTAGAGACTCGAGCGTGTTTGTGTTTAATTTCTGTCAACAGATACACTCAGCGCTGCAAGCCTCAGCATAGCTGCAATACATTTAACTAAACTAAACTAAATCATATAATATTATTTAAATAATATGCACGCTACAAAACATAAAATAATATACCAAATATAAAATTATATAAATATATAAAAAGGCAGATCAGTTAATTTTTAATATGTTTAATATAAAATACTTAAATATTTAAATAATAATTATAAAATACCTATACATCATATTAAAATACCTATAATATATTATGTTACTAACTATAATTTATCTATATATTAACGATGCAAATTTCTTACTTTTCTTTCTAAAGAGTAATCGATATTGATAAAAATTTGTTATTTTAAATATAATATTAAACTAGCTGTAAGTGGAATTCTGTCTTGAGGCAATTATGGCATCGTGCCTTAAGGCAAATTGCTGGATCTTCCCGTACCGTAACGAAATGTTCGTGGAATACTGAATGTTTTCGAATAAATTATTATAAATATTGTAACATTTTCTAATATTTATAAGAATTATATAAACTGAATTGCAGAGTTGAAATTATTTGTAAAGTATATTAGAATTATAGTAAGAATTAAAAATAAAATCTGAAATATTTTCGCTATACAAAAAACTAAAAAAAAAAAAAAAAAAAAAAAAAAAAAATGGAACAAAAAATTTTGTTCCAAAATCAATTATTTTGTTAAGACAAGCAGAAAGTTCTTTGAATCATTTAAATCGGACGCTTAGTTCTCTCAAAAAATGCCATTTTTTACATATTTAGCTCCGTATCTTCAAAATGACTGGGCCTGCCTTTGCCAAAACTAATTAACACTTCTCTCAATCATTACTAATTGAATGTTTTTTAGATCATTCAAATCGGATACTCCGTTCTCTCAAAAAATTCGATTTCTATTTTCTGCACTCTTTGCTCCGTATCTCCGAAACGGCTGGACCTGCCTTTGCCAAAAACTAATCAGCTCTTTTCCCTATCAATACGAATAGAATGTTTTTTGAACCATTCCAATCGGTTGATCCGTACGCCCGAAAACGTGGGCGACAATTTGTATCCATACATACACACACACACACACACACACACACACACACACATCCATTTTTTCTGAGGTATGCCAAAACGTTCAGAAACCTTCAAAACGTCGAGAAATGTAAAAATTTTCAATTCCGATTTTCGGCCCATTACAATAACTTACCCTACGGGAAGTTAATATAATTAATTAAACATAAAATTGAATAATTATGGTAAATTATGTAATACTATTTTTATATATAAATGATTTTAAAATTATTTCCATTATTTCAGTTACCAGAAGTGATCAGAGTGCAAAATTTGCTCGTCCGTGACCTCTTGACTTGCAAAAATCAAAACAGTGTTTGTGAAGCAAAAAAGTAGTGTTTTGCGAACTCAATGAAAAAAGTGATTAAAAAATTAACAATTAATTAATTGTTTTATACATTGAATTTGTTATTGAATAAATAAGTTTGTAACAGTTATTTATTGAAAAAACGTGTAGGCCGTCCGCCTATATGTTACTTTCTATATAAAGTAACGGTAAACGCTCAACAGGAAACTTTGGATAAGTTTGTTTGTGTGTTCATGTGCATAGGATTAATAATTTAGAGGTGAGTTAATAATAATTAATAATAATTATATATATATATATATACATATATATATATATATATATATATGTATGTATATATTATTGTCTTATATATAAAATTCTTCTGTACGGGTGTATGATTTGATACTTCTCCTAAACGGTTATTCGAATTTTGATAATCCTTTTTAGAGTTTGTCAAAGGAAATTTTTAAGATTTAATGAACGATTAAACTATAGTAATATTGTAGAAATAAATGATAAAAATTACAAAAAATCACTTGTCATTGTTAGACATTGAAAACATTTGAACTGGCATCTGCTAAAAGTGTCAATTCAACTTGAAATTTGAATTTAGCTGAAATTATGAGCCTAGATAATATTAGAATATAACATACAAGAAAAATGCAATGTCTACATTATTATTGCCGAAAAGCACCTGGATGTGCCAGAAATTAAAATAATATAAGATACAGTCAACAGTATATGTTGGCAGATGCAATTATATAATTCAGTTTAATAAATAACGCAATAAGTCCAAAATTGCATATTCATTATTTTTTGATACGTTTGCATGTCGCATTTTGGTTCATTTTACTAAATTATTCAGCAATACAAAAAATTATTTCTACTTATTAAAAAAATGATTTAGAATTTTGTTTCATGTGTCAAAAAATCATTTGGCATTGGAATATTTAGCAAGTTAATCTTAGATTAAAGAATGCAAAATGTTTAAATGCATATTTTTTTGAAGATTCTTATTTTTTCTCCGTTTCTCCAAAACGCCTGAACCTGCCTTTGCCAAAAACTAATCAGCACATTTCCACATCAATAGCAATCGAATGTTTTTTGGAGCATTCAAATCGGTTGATCCGTGTTCTCGAAATGGACCAAAAATTGTTTTCAAACATACACATACATGCTACATACACACATTCACACACACATACATTTATTTTTTCTAAGAAATGCCAAAATGTTCAGAAGGTTCTGAAACGTAAAGATATATAAAAAAAATATTTTCGATTTTTTTGCGATTTATTATGTACGTTTAGACTCTGTATGTCATCATTCAGCAAGTTTGACAAAGTCTAATTTTTTTTTACAAAGTTTTACATACAACCATATATTAGTTAGAAAAAGTAGTCTTCAGAACCAAATTTTAGATTAAACTACTACTTCTTTTTCGGGAAGTTAAATATATTTATAATAATAATAATAATACAAATGATAATGATAATAACCGCTTAATATGTAGTTTATCTTTTTATGAAGACGTTGCATAATACGACTAAAATGTAATTATTATTATTGCTAATAACTCTTATCATCTTTAAGAGCATGAATTAAATTTTGATTATGTAAGGATGTTACAGAAGGTCAATATAATATTTACATGTGATCTTGAAATAAGTTCTTAGTAAAGAATTTAAAACTATTTTTAATCAGAAATCGCGATTCTTATTATTTTTTATGATAATTTGTTTAATATTATTTAAACTTCTGAAAACTGTAATAGTTCAATTACAGGAAGAGGTTTCACACGAAATATATTTGTTCATAAACATTAATGTTCATAAAAAACTTTTTGTGTTTTTTTTTTATTTTGTATACATAAAACACTTGATTCAAATTGAAATTATTTATAAACAAAAACTAGTGCAAAATGCTCTTTTAAATTTAATAATGGCTAATTATATAACTCTTAATTATAAAAAATAGTTCTTCTTATTAGTGCTTCCAACTATTCTATTTTTCAATACTGTTTTTTTTTAGTAATTTTTTTCTAATACTTGATTTTACAAACTAGTTACTCCAAAAACGCTATTTTTGTAGATCCTAGTCTTGATTAACTTTTGTAATTTTTCCAACTTTTTCATCATGCATCTTCTCAAATTGTGTATAATTCGAAATTATTGGTGTAACAAAAATAAAGAGCAAAAATTTATTTTTGTTATTTTATAGTGTATTGTCTATCCAATAATATTTTCTTATCTAGAATAAATTTTCGCTACAGGTGAATTTGTATAGTAGTTAAAAATAACACTTGCCAACTATGTCATATGCACAAGGTACAGGGCTGGCAAAAATATACTTGACTACTAAGGCTAATTGCTGGAACTTCCTGTAACGAGAGTTAAATTTTTTTGAAAAAGCTCTGAATTTTTTAAAAAGTGTTATTTTTGAGATTTTAGAACTTTACTTTACTTTACTTTAATGTGTAAAAAAGGGCAATTTTGAGAGAACTAAGGATCCGATTTGATTGATTCAGAAAACTTTATGTGTGTTTCTGTGTGTTTTGACGATACAGTTGCTTTTGGATTTTTTTTTCAGATCTTTTTTTATTTCAAAAATAACTCAAATTTTAATTCTAATTCTAGCTAAAGTTCTAATTGTCACTTATATACTTCAAATAAATAATTTTGACTTTGTAATTTAGTTTATATAATTCTTATAAATATTAGACAATGTTACAGTATTTATAATAATCTTTAATATTTCTCGAACATTTCGTTACGGTACGGGAAGTTTCAGCAATTTGCCTTAAGGCACGATGCCATACACCACTAGTTAATTTATATTTAGATTGAATTCCAATATTTCATCTCATCATCGAAAGTAATTAATTAATAAAAACTATTTGTTCAATTTTTTGTATCTTTGTATCATTTCATTTCTGCGCACAATATTTCATTGCAAAGGTGACTATTAAAATTTCGGAGACATGAAAAATGTTTCAAAAATAATATTTGCTAACGATGTTATGATTTTTTATCCAAACAGTCCAAAGTGTTGAACAAAGGCAAACAATTTAGCTCATTAATACAATTATTTGGATTTTTTGTTAACGCGATATTACTGTAAAAGTATTTTACGATGTTTGCAGGGAATTAGGATTAATAAAATATTATTTAGAAACCCAATATTTGGGTAATGATTTATAATAATTAATTTTTTAAGGCATTGGTAAATGACTTAAATTTTCTTTGTCTGAGTCCAGAAATTTTGCTTGCCTAGTTTCGTTTCTACGTTTTATTTAATTTAAAATAAACACTTTCTCAAAAAATTGATTAAAATATTATTTAGAAACTAATAAAATATTTGAGTAATGAAGAGTATTAGATTTTTCCATTTGTTCCTATTTGCATATGAAAACAAATAATGAAGAGGAGAAAATAAAAAATATAATCAGTATTAGATTTTTCCATTTGTTCCTATTTGCATATGAAAACCAAAGACTTATAAAATATAAATAAGATGTAATGTATTCTTTTCCTCAACGATTAAGACATCACTAGTTAATTTTATTATTTATATAATTATGAACAAATTGATTATTTACATTCATAAAATGTTTTTTCTTATCGACATAAATAAATAAATGGTGACGCCATGTACTTCCAACCACTTGTTAGATGATGATTCTAATTTGCATTTGAATAAATTTTCTGTAAGTATATTATGTAATCAATTTTAAACTTATTACTAATATTAACTAGTGGTGTATGGCATCGTGCTTTAAGGCAAATTGCTGGAACTTTCTGTACCGTAATGAAATGTTCGAGGAATATTAAATGTTTTCAAATATATTATTATAAATACTGTAACTTTAATCATTCGTATTTTATAGACATAATATAAAGAGCTTGGACGAATTGGACGATGATGTTATTATAGAAAAGTAAATAATAAAACTTGATCAATCGGACCTTATCTCATATTTTTAAGAATTATATAAACTGAGTCGAAAGTTAAAATTATTTATTTCAAGCATATAAGTGAGCTTTAGAATTTCAGCAAAAATTTATATATATATATATTTAGAATTTATATAAAAAATTAAAATCCTAATTATTTTCAATATTCAAAAAAAAGTTTTTGGAAATTAAAAAAAATGAAATAAAAGTTATTTTTTTTTGCTTTCTCTAAAAACAATCTTTTCGTCAATAAACAATAAATTCTTTGCATCATTTTTCTACTACGATTCCAACCCAGTTTCCTTTTTCTTTCATCAATATACATACGATTCTTTCTTACACTAATTCGTCTGATTTTTTTTTATCGACTCTTATCCTGCTTTTTATAGTCCTAGTTTCTGATCAATACAAAATCATAAATATGTATATATATATATATATATATATATATAAATATGTATATATTTTTATATGTATGTATCTGTATAAAATGCGCCTATATATATATATATATATATATATATATATATATATATAAAAGTTATGTAGGTAAACATACTTTTTATAGAAAGTAGTTTACATAAATCGGCCTACAAAGAATCTAATAAGAATGCAACGTTTTATGCAACTAGATCATAACGAACAATATTTATAAATAAAGAATAATGTATTATATATATGCACATATGATTATATATATTTTACGAATAATGAATGTATATATATATATATACCAGATGACCCGACAGACGTTGTCTTGTACCCACGTCTACAATTCAAAAGTTCCAATTTTTTTAATATCCTATCCTATACTTTTTAATATCCTATTTGAAGTCCTGTCTTTGTGATTCATTTATGGTCTTAGCATAAGCAATTTAAAAAATTCAGAAAAAAATAATATAGTATCTGCGGTAAAAGAACAATATCACACTTGATTTTACCACATAACATAATTGCATCAATAACTTAGTCTGTAATTTTCATAATCTCGTACGATATATTAGTTGCTTTTTGGCTATTATAATTTCTAAAGTACATTTTTCTTACTAACAATTAAATAAACATTATTGTTTATGTTCAAATCTTAAATGAACTAATTTGTAAAATCTAGTTCATATGAGCAATTTTCAATCTAAAATCAACTTGCTATATATTCCATATCCAATGCCAAAGAAATGAATTTTTGACACACGAAACAAAATTCTAAATCATTTTTTAATAAAGTAGAAATATTTTTCTGAATTGTTAAATGATTTAGTAAAGTAAACCAAAATGCGACATGTATAAGTTTAAAAACATAATGTACTCGTATATGCAATTTTGG